ATGGCATCACCATCCTTTTCAAAATATGTATTCACCAAATACCCTAAACACATGATCGAGAGAGAGAGATAAATAGAGAGAGAGAAGAGAGAAGAGAGAGAGAGAGAGAAGAGATAGAGAGGGAGGAGAGATAGATAGATAGAGAGAAAGAGAAGAGAGATAGAGAGAGATAAATAGAGATCTAGAGAGAGAGAGAGGGGACAGATAGATACATAGATAGATAGATATAGAGAGAGAGAGAGAGAGAGAGAGAGAAATAGAGAGAGAGAGAGAGATTGAAGAGAGAGAGAGAGAGAGAGAGAGAGAGAGAGAGAGAGAGAGATTGTTCAGTTTAAAATAAACCGTTTCTCCCATGGATACCGGTATCTTACATAGTATGTACCAAACATCATGGCATCCTTGGTAAGGTCACAAAGAAAATGATAACCCAACCCTGATCATGCATTTTAAATCTGGTCCTAAAGTCAGTCAGATCCATGAGTGTTAAATGCAAAGAACACATTTCAGATGCAGGCCTTAGTTTAAACACTAAAAGCTTTTAGCCTAAAGCCACAGCATGCTCAAGACTGAATTGAACATGTGCTTTTTGAAACCATGGAACCACACAACAAAGAATGAGTATAAAACATCCATATCAATTATCATAACAACTGAAGTTTAACAGTAGGGGTGACTATAGACTAGGGTGACTATTGCATGCATTTAACAACTGTAATACTGAGCCAAGCCGCGTATTGAAACCAGTGAATTAATACTATTTGTATCCCATTAGATTCAGCATGTGTGCAGGAGTCTCGCAGTCACGGGAATACTGAACAATTTAGACATTATTTTAGGATACAGATCAGAAAATAGAGTTATGTATAAGATAAATAGAATACTTCCATAAGGAACCCCTGAGTATTCAGGAAATGTCAAGTTTCCAGAGGTGATGATGAAATGAGCATAATCTGTTTGAGTTGAGAATGGGATGGTATTATATGGAGAATCTCACCCGAGTGTCTTTTGAAATCAAATATATCACCACGAGTTGATAAAGTTACAAATATCCGAGGCTTGCCAAGGATATGTTTACTTTTATCAACGAGTGTTGATATATTTGATATCAGAAGACATGAGGGTGAGATTCTATTTATCATCCAAAATCACTCTTCATTAGTTTTCAATGAAACATGTACATCTCTGAACACCGTTCTGCCATTAGACTTGCAGTGCAGCGATGTCATAGCATTGTGACGTCATCAAGTTCATGACGTCATAGCATTGTCAGGGCATTGTACAAAATCTACTGTCAAAATGATATCTCCCAGGAGATATCGTATGATCTCACACAAGCAATATCTCCTGTGGAACACAGTTTTGGATGATAAACATACATACATGGTAACATTTATATAGTGCTGATATCCAGCTCAGCTGCTCAAAGACTCTTTGTTTTTCCCTTGATCACTGGATGTCAATCTCAACGGCACATATTATCAATCTCAACTCCCTGGGGAACATACAACTCTTGCTGCCACTAGGCGCAGTGAGTTAGTGTGGCTTTCCCATCTTACGAGGTACCCATTCACAACAGCTGGGTGGACTGTACCCGCAACTAGGTGTTTGCACGTATTCATGTGGCCACCATCTGGTCATATACCAATGGATAGTGTTCGAGCTAAGAACGTAAAGAGCATACTCTCTTCAAACTTGGAATGGGATGACAATACAATGTTTGAGCTGAGAATGCAATGAGATTATGCAGTTTAACCTGAGAATGACATGAACATAATATGTCTGAGCTGAAAATGGGATGGGTATAATCTGGTTGAGCTAAGAAGGGGACAGGTACAGTCTGCTTGAGCTGAGATTGGGATGACAGTAATGTTTGATCTGAGAACGCGATGAGAATATACAGTTCAACCTGAGAATGGGATGAACATAATATGTCTGAGCTGCAAATGGGATGAGTATAAGCTGTTTGGATGAGAAAGGGAGATGCTGTTTTGGATGAAAGGACATGGTAAGTGATCTTGGAGTACAAGTATGTGATTTATTATTGTGTTAATGATAAGATAGCTTTGTGAAACAGGTCCAAGGTGAACATCTATCCCAATGCATTATTTCAAACTTCAACATTAGTGAGTGAGTGAGTTTAGTTTTACGCCGCACTCAGCAATATTCCCGCTATATGGTGGCGGTCTGTAAATAATAGAGTCTGGACCAGACAATCCAGTGATCAACAGCATGAGCATCGACCTGCGCAATTGGGAACCGATGACATGTGTCAACCAAGTCAGCGGGCCTAACCACCCGATTCCGTTAGTCGCCTCTTACTACAAGCATAGTCGCCTTTTGTGGCAAGCATTGGTTGCTGAAGACCTATTCTACCCCGGATCTTCACGGGTCCTAGTTGCACCAGTCAAATTCCAGTTGCACTGTTTTTATTGCAATATGTAATATCAGAAATATGCTATCGAATTATTTAGATGTTTTATTCAGAAGTTTACCCACTAAAAAATTGACTTGCACCTGTGCAAGTTAGACTAATAACTAGGTAGCACTTTGTAATATTGGGTTGCACCAGTGCAAGTAACAAAGCACTAAATCGAGCCCTGGATATAATAAACTGCTTTTCTGGACCCAGACACTTGCTGCGTATTTGATTCAAAACGTGGAGAACAAACTATGGTTATAACAAACTAAAATTAGTGGTCCCTTTGAGTTTGTTACAACCGTGCTAATGTTTCTTCATTTGAAAAAAAGGAACATCTACTGAATGATGAATGGCCAGTAATTAGTATTAGGAATTGTTACCACTATTTAGCAGGTAAACAGTGAAGGAAACTTTCACCATGATTAGATTTCCTTCCCCCCTGTTGCTTGTATGTTTCTACACTTATCTCAAAAGCAGCACGCAATCCTGGAAAAGTGCTTGCACTGCCAAGGGTCAAGTAACTTGGAAGTAGGAAGCTGTTTGTTAAAACTGACTAGTATCTGTCTTCAGATTATCATTCCAGTTGATGCATTAGGCTCAACAAAGCCAGTTGTCCGATTTCTGTTCTCATGATTTCAAAAACACATGCTCATAACAGACATGTAATGATAAACCCCTCTAAGCAGACAGGAAGTTGTGATTCACACAGTATTTCCTAAACCTGGCAAATGGATGTTCTGTGCTATTCATGTCACCTCCTACACACATATCCAATGTATATGCTCATCTTTCTCAAACTTTCTTCAGCACTGATAATAAAGGTTAATTTGTTTCAAAAAAAAAAGAAATATATCTCTCAAAACCTCCAGTTACTTGATTAGAATAAATAAATAAGAAAAACATACAACTCAAAGATGCAGCCGATAAGATACATCCCATTAAAACATCTCTCTACTGATAAGAGGAGATTTGTTACACCAATCCTTATACCATACATTCCTTTGCACTTAGAACCGCGTCCATATATAACCATGTAAGATATAAACATGTAAGACTTAATTACAACATGGATGAGTATATGATATGCATGTCACATCTGATTAACAAATCTTCTCACTGTCAATGAGAAAAGTGTCTGTTAACGTTTTGCTTTGTAACAAATCCATTTACATCTGCATGCTAAACATGTTGTGTATCGTAGTATCAATGGGGAGGCAGGCATAAACTGTAATGTAAAGGATTACTTGCATATTGAGTTATCGTATAACATGGTAAGTTTTTATTCTTTATTTCAGTACAGATGTGGGCCAACGGCCCCTGGTACAACATTGATTGGTCCATTGCATATAAGTGTATACATACATGCATATATATTCCAGAGAATGTACATGAGGTATGAGGTAGTTGGTTCACTTTACTATAGTGTGTCTCGGTTGCGAGGCATGGTAAATATAACAGGCTAAGTTACTATCAACAGATGTTTGGTTAGAAGACATGGACATATTAAATTCTGTCACATAAGGATATTCGTAGTATTTCTTGGCCATATATCATTGACGTAGATTATCAAAAACTGTACAGATCAATAAAAATGATATTCTGTCTCAATATAGCCAGTTACGGATTTTACAAATTCTTTCAATGACTGACTGAATATGTGTTACAGAGATGTACAAGAGGTATAAGGTAGTTCAATTTACTATAACCTGTCTAGGCTGTCGAGGCATGGTAAACAGAACAGGTTAAATATCTAACAACAGATGTTTGGTTAGAAGACATATATTAAATCACAGTAGGATATTCGTAATATTTCTTGGCAATGTATCGTTGACGTAGATAATCAAAAAGTGTACAGATCAATAAAAAATGATATTCTGTTTCAATATAACCACAGTTACAGACTTTACAAATTCTTTCATTCCTTGGTACACTGAGATATCTGCCTTCCTCAATGGCTAAAGAATGTGAGCTACAGCGAAATTTAGCAAGTGCCAACATGTAATTACAACATGGTTGAGTATATGATGTGCATGTCACATCTGATTAACAAATCTTCTCACTGTCAATGAGAAAAGTGTCTGTTAACGTTTTGCTTTGTAACAAATCCATTTACATCTCGATGCTAAACATGTTGTGTATTGTAGTATCAATGGGGAGGCAGGCATAAACTGTAATGTAAAGGATTACTTGCATATTGAGTTATCGTATAACATGGTCAGTTAACACCATGAAATGTCACCCACAAAGGAAATCAGTGAGGCGTGAGAAGAAATGTGTAACAGTCAGTGAAGGGGAGGCGGGATGGGCAATCAGTGCTCTATGGTAATGTGTAGTCTGTACTAAGAGGCCGTCTAGGGTCTTTCATAACAGAGTCTGTCAGAGGCCTTTATTATCACAGCATGGAGGAAGATCAAATCTGAAATTCCATCATGATTGCCTAAATTTGGTACTGTCATCACATGGGGCGGCTCATCATTCATTCGTAACGAGCTGTCAACGCTGTTAAAGTGACATAAACAATATTTATTTCATTCATAATATGAAAAATGATTTTGACAGGCAACATAAAAATATGTCTTACCTCTCAAACTCTGGATCTTTTCGAGAATAATCCGCTCCTTGTTATTTGTATAAGCTGTATATAGTCTCCGTCGAAATAGGACAAATCCGGTGTAACACGTTACCAAAAAATACAGCCCCAAAACGGCATACGCTATCTTTCTGAACGTAAATCTCATGACGCCATATTGTACACACGAACACTTTCACAGAATCCAGGTAGACCCCTGACTTTCAAACATTCCTGATTTCGCGCCTTGACTTATGATATACCTCTCAGGCAGGCATAGTTCGTGTATGAAGCTTCCTTCTTCTGCCAATCTCACGAACTATCGACCGATCATGTCGCACTCGGCGGAAGCAATCCTCCTACACATCAAAACACACACAACGTGAAAGTCACATGACCAGATGCGAGATCCGCCGGAAGCTACTTGCGTGACAACATTCAATCTTACTCTTAGAACGAGCATCTGCTGGACTAGAAGGTCTGCAGTAATAACGCTGTTGTTGAAATAAAGGTTTCCCTGGAACAATTAACTGAAAACAATAGGGGATGTACTGGTTACAGCGAGGTGTTACAATACATAATATTCCATCTCACAATCTTTTCACGGAAAACGAGATGAAAGACTTGGCATTAGGTTTAAAGTGTCTATAGAAATTTAAATGCAGATATTTATGTCTTTCAGTGGCATTTAGAAGTTGTACATTGATGTTGAAGTTGAACTGATGAGTTCACCTGATGAAGGGACCTGGAATGGTCTCGAAACGTCGTTTGGGAAATTAAAAAGAAGTTAATCCATAAATATATCTTGGACAGATAATTATGTTTTGAAGTTCACATGCATCCTTGAAAAGAACAGTTGTTACAACAATTGTATTACAGCTAACGTTTTCATGAGAATATACACATAGAAAGCATATTAATCTTGAAATTATAGATTGTAAAAGAGTCGTGAAAACCTAACTTGTCTACCATTATTGTTTTGTATACATATGCTTATGACAGGTATATCATAAATATTACATGTGTGATATCTGATATGAAAGATGATCATGAATTTGTACAGATCGTTTTATATATGTGACCCGACCGCGTCATACCAAAAGACGTTAAAATATGGTACTTGTTGGTCCCTGTCTGGCTCTCGGCATTAATGGGTACAACAAGGACTGGTCTGCTCGGAGTCAGTATGTGTCTGAGTGTGGTATTCATGCTTCACTGCGGCATGGTAGCTCAGTGGGCTAGCACTATAAAATCAGCTTAAGTCTGGGCTAGTACAAGCAGCCGCACATACACATACACACGCATGCACGTCGTCATATGAGCGAAATATTCTCAAACATGACGTTAAACCCAATTTCACCTCACCTCACCTTTATATATGTGAAATGTTTTCATCCTACTATTTAATTTTTATCCTTCTTTTTTAAAAAGATCTGTTGTACATTTTAACTATCAACATATGTACCAAGTAGAAAAAAATACAAAACAAATATTAGAATTGTTTGAATTCCAGAGATCCATTGCTGTTCAGAAAGAAAACTATTTTTAGTTAATACTGGTGGATTATCCCGCCTTACAATTATGGAATGTATCTAACCAAAAGGTACAAATAGTATTTAATATGGTAACGGGGTCGTTTCTATTGAAATCAGTGGTAACGAAATTCGTACCACTGTGTGACAACAAGATGGCGGCCCCCATAGAAAACGTGATTGAGGGAGCAAATGAAAACATTGACATGTGCGAAATAGAAGCGACAGTTGCAACTGGTTTTGAACAAATAGCAAAAGAGGAAGTGGAAGAAAAGTTCGGAATAACAGCAAGAGCTGCGAGGGGGAAAGTCATGGCCATAGTACCAGTGAAAGATGTCAAAAAGGTGAGATTTTATGTTGGTCACATGCAAAAGTTAACGAAAAATGTTATAGCAGACGACGAGAGACACGCTTTCATATTGAAAATGTTTTGAAAATATTAAAGATTACATTTTCATCTCTTCGTTTGCTGAACTGAAGTTGTCTTCAATACTTCAGCATATGAAGATATATGTATGGAACTGGAAGGTCCAACCCTATTTGGCCATATTGTTCAGTGGTTGAGCACTATCTTTTTTTCTTTATAAACTTGAGCTTTAGTACTTTTTCTGTATATTTGCTATTTTTTGATACCATGCATGTTGTATGTGAGTAAGGTGAACCAATAAACCACACAAAGATGGACCGTGGCAATAATAAATTGTATTTAACATCCAGAAACTTGACCCTAATAAGGTACTCTCATAGGCTCCCACTGCGGGTCAGAAAATCGATAACCTAAGCCCGGGTTACTATCCAGGTTTCAAACCTTCAATTACTTTTGTTGTTTAATAGTCTTGTGTGCTATAGGTAGCTGAGGATAATAGAATCAGGCAGTAATGCAGACCCCATCACCAAAATATTTCACCAGATTTATACTTGCACATTATCTTAGGCTTGCACATTATCTAACATACTGTTTTAGCTCATTACTGATTACTGTCGATTGCTGTAAATGGATTATTTACAAGGTGTATGTTACCATCACAAAGTAATAAAATTATGTCTAGGGCTAAGATTAAGCAATCAGTTGTCACCGCCAGTCTGAGTACACAGATTAATGGGTCACAGATAAACAAGCAGCAAGTGATTATCAGGTGTATATGCAAACTATCAATGGCTGCTTGTACTCTAATCTAATTGATGTTAATCAAGATAATTGATGTGAATTGTCCTGGCAGAGTAAATGAAACAGGCTCCTTGGGTCTCACATTGACGGGTTGCTGTTATGTAAACACAGCAATGGCAGTAAATCTGGGTCTTTCTTAATATTTCTATGCTTCCTCAGGATGGTGGGGTAGCCCAGTGATGAAATCGGTCACTCGTCACGCCAAAGGTCCAGGTCACGTCACACCAAAGGTCCATGGGTACAATATGTGAAGCCCATATCTGATGTCCTCACTGTGATTTTGCTGGAATATTGCTAATAGTGACGTAAAACCAACTCTAATCTTCCCAAGCCGCGAATAGCTGCTAAATTGCTGATGCAGCTTAAAGTAACATTTACTCACTCACTCTATTCTTCTTTACACCAATATGGAATTAAACTTGTGAACTTAAAAACAAATCCGGTGATTTATCTTGGAATCCAATCTGAGTGCCCTTAGAGAAAATCAATAGTAAGCCAAATTGGAAATTTGTTAAAGTCTTAATTTCTTTTAATTCAGATTTATTTATAACATTGTATCCAATGCAACAATACCTCTTCTGTTTTTTTAGGTCATGTTATCATCAAGATACAAGTTTCCTTTACAGAGTTATAATAGTGGTTATAAATGAATAAATATGGACAACTTTGATTGCAAGTTGGGAATTTTTGCTGACGTTTGCTGCTGACATGGCGCCAAAAATCAGCATCTGAGCAGGTCCAGATGAGTCCCTGACATCATTATGAGATCATTATGATCATTTTTTTGGCAGTATAAGTTCCTGGCACTGATCAATATTGGAGATCTCCAAATACTATACTTATCACAATATATTGTTTCCATTGATGGTTGTGATCACAGGGAATGTATATCAGTTTGACAGCAAGAAAGAAGCTGATTTATCTTTTCATAAACAGTGGTTAATTCAAGACAACATGTCTCCTAATGGAAAAGCTTGGAATGATGGAATACCAAATTGATTGATGCTATAGTAAAATCTCTGGTTTCTTAGTCCTGCCACAATGAATTTGAAGGGAAATTAGAAGCTAGCTTGAACATGATTAATATCTTTCCAGATATTAGTTTTAGGACCCAAACCATACTGGTCATTAGTCTAGTTGTTAATCTAGTTCACTTTATATTGGTAAAAGTTTTCGCACATCACACTGAAGATTCCCCACATGGGTACAATGTTTGAAGCCCATTTCTGGAGTCCCCCACCGTGATGTTGCTGGTATGTTGCTAAAAGCGGCTTAAAAAAACATACTCACTCACTCACTTGTAGCTAGCACTGCTTGAAGAAAACACTCTCTTTACTATGTGATTTTTGTCATTTTATTTTTTCAGTCAAAAGTTTTAAGAAATAAGAAACACGGAAAATTGATTCATTTTTCACTTGTCCCTAGCAGAATTTAGTAGTCTCAAGGTTGTGGAGTAGCATGAATATTGAAAGCTGGTTTGAATTGATGTGATGGCATGGTGAGGTAACTTGTATTTCACTGAGAACAGGACTAACCAAGAGGAAGAGGCTGAAGGTTTACACTTTTGCTTTGGACACAATGATAGAATATCTCTGAAAAAGAAGTTTTGAAAAATGATGTAAATTATAGAAATTGTATTGCCTACCAAGGACACATTGATTAGAATCCCAGATAAATCCTTTCTGCGCGTGGATGGTGAATTTTGAAACTGAGATATGGTTTGTTTGCAGTGTCTGGAACTAGGGTGTGTAGACAACATCAGGGTGCTAATGTCCTCCTGGAAGAACATCCAGTTTCCTGAAGACAAGGTAGGTGTGGCTTGACTCTCATCTTCTGTGACCGTCTCCATGGTCTAGTGAACAGGGACGGTCTCTCTGTCTGGAGAACAGAAGGTGATTGGTTCATTCCCCTGGCTGTGTCATACCAATAGATGTTTAACTTGTTGTTACACTGTCTGACATTCGACAAAGGGGATAAGACAAGGTCTGGCCAGCTTAGCGTCAAGTGGGGTGTCCATGTTAAACTATTGCATATATCACAGAGAGCTAGCACTGTGAAACAACCGTATTTCCTGTAATAAGCACCGGGTCTCTAATAAGATAAAAAAATATAGATTTTTTAAGGAATGGTCTCTTTAATCATAACTTCCTGTCTTCCACATGGCGAGGACTGATGGATATTATGTGATCGTCCAAGCTGCAATCAGGAGTTTCATGTATATAAATGTGTATGGGGTCTGGTGCTAGATGAATAAGCACCAGGTCTCCAATAAGCACCGGGTCTCCAATAAGCACCAGGTTTCCAATAAGTACCGGGTCTCCAATAAGCACTGGGTCTCCAATAAACACTGAGTCTCCAATAAACACTGAGTCTCCAATAAGCATCAGGTCTCCAATGAGTACTGGGGTCTCCAATAAGTGCTGGGGGGTCTCCAATAAGCACAGAGCCTCTAATAAGTGCCGGGTCTCCAATAAGCACCAGGTCTCCAATGAGTGCCGGGTTTCCAATAAGTGCTGGGTCTCCAATAAGCACCGGGTGTCCAATAAGCACCAGGCCTCCAATAAGTGCTGGGCCTCTAGTAAGCGCCGGGCCTCTAATAAGTGCCGGTTCTCTAATAAGTGCCGAGTCTGGAACTCTGTTGAAAAACTAAGTGCCCAAGCACTTATTAGAGGAAATACGCTATGTAGTTAAAACAGCCCCGCATGTGTATGCATGCAGCTCTGTAAGCCATGATTAGGAAGGAAATGTTCCTCATGAGCCTTTAGTCCCATTGCTACACTTTTATGGGCCATTTTTGGCAAGTCTAGACCATAATTTTCACTCCTTGTTCAATAAATTTCACTCTGTGGGCCATTGATAACTGGAATGGTCTATAAATTTGAGGGAACTTAAAACATTATTGCAGATGAAATTTGTTTTTTTATTCTTTAAAATCTATTTCTTGAACTTCAAACTGTAACATCAATTCAGCAGCAAATACAGCTGAGCCAGATTACAAAGGAAACTACAGTTCCTTATCATAATGGATATGCTTGAATGAGATAATCAATGGTTACTATAATTTTCATCTTTTTACCCCCACACATGCTCTTCTTCTCATCTTCTTCATCGAACATGGTGGGTACCCATCTCCCTAATTGGTTGAAGCTATCTTTTACCCACACTCATCATGTCGAAGATCCAAAGTGGCTCGATTCCCCACATGGGCACAATGTGTGAAGCCCATTTCTGGTGTCCCCCGCCGTGATATTGCTGGAATATTGCTAAAAGCAGCATAAAACGAAAGTCACTCACTCACTCATCTTCTGATCATCCAAACCAGACAGTCTGTGGTGAATTTCCTAAGCAGATGATGCTGTTACATTGTCTGGAAATGAGATCTGTTCCTAGTGTGTATGTTTAAGCTTATGTTTGCAATCTGAGATTCTGCTTTCGTCATTCTATCCTAATTTTCCTTCGAATTGTTTATATTAATTTTGACAAAATAGTGAGTGAATTTATCAGCTGAACCCACCGTTTACATCCTGCAACTATGATTAGATTACCAATACTGACAATATGTTTAATAAATGCCATTTCTATGACTAGTTGAAAATCAGCCTTCTGTAAATAATAGAGTCTAGAAGTGATGTAGATACCACTTTGGGACGGTTAGATAGCCTAGTGGTTGAAGCCCTTGCTCGTCACGCCGAAGGTCCGGGTTTGATTCCAATGTGTGAAGCCCATTTCTGATGTGCTGGACATTGCTGTAATATTGCCAAAAGCAGCATAAAACTAACTAACTCACGATCCCAATAAAGTCTGGACCACACAAACCAGTGATTGATGTCGTGAGCTACAACTGGGAGACGATGACATGTGTCAACCAAGTTATACTCATGGCACACGACTTGTATGATCACTTTATATTATATTGCTGATAGGAGCAGGGTGGTCTCAGCTGATGGTAAATCAGCTGTAAGTAGTCTACATTGCATGTTGTTTTGTTGCAGTTGGAGTGTATGAGGAAGCTGCGTGAGTTGGTGCGGGATGTTGACTGGGAACAGGGACTGAAGGTGTGGAAGCAGGTGTATACATTCCAGCATCCCATCCTGTCCACCCCCGTCAGTGACACTGTGGACATGGGGGGAACCCTACCTCACCTCCAGAGAAAACCTGCCCAAGAAACAGCCCAAGAAGAAAGGTGGGAAGTTTGGAAAGAAGGACAAGTTCGGCAAGAAAGGGAAAGACTGGAGAAAGAAGGATGAAAGGCAGAATGGAGGATCTGGTGATGCTGGAAAACCTCCTGACCGTCAGTTTATCAGCAATCAAGGTCAATATGTTGACGGTCGAGGCTGCCATTATCGAGGGGTAATTGATGGCCAGTTTGATGATGCCGATTCAGACGCTGACAAGTCAGGGATCAAGGAGTTGAGTTCACAATCAGAAATAGTTGTGAAAACAGAAGAAGAAACAGATCTGAGTTCAGGAGTTTCCAAAATGACACTGGGAAACAAGGACACTGAGTCTAACGAAAATGTCATGGAGGAGAAAGAAACTAACAATGTATGTGCTGACGTGAAAGAAAGTGATCCTTCTATAGAATCCGGTGACGAAAATACAAAGAAAGTGGATGAAGAAACTGTACAGCCTAGTGAAGCTACCTCGTCCTCCCTCTGATCAGAACCTGTTATCCAACACGAAGGAGCAGGTAGATGGTCAGAAGCCATCTTCCCCTCCATCAAGTCCCCAGAAGCCATCGTCCCCTCCATCTAGTCCTCAGAAAACACCCTCCGAAACCTTGAGTCCTGAGAAACCCCGAGAGAAGCTGGTGCCCCACAATCCACTCATGCCATCATTCCGAGTGACGTGTAACCGAGCTGGTGAGGGTCACAACTTCGACTCCATGTGCGCTGCTGCCAACTTCGGCGGCGCTGTGCAGAACTACTTCGGCTGGAACGTGGACATGAAGAACTTTGAGGTGGAGGTGATCCTGAACATCGAGTGGACGGACATGTCGGTGTGCATAGGCCTCACCAAGGGGAGTCTACATCACAGAAACATCACAGTGTTTGGTGCCACTACGCTCAGACCCACCATCGCCTGCAACATGCTCAGGTAGGGGTGTCCAGCCTCGTAACATTTGTAACCTCCTCCATGGTGTAGTGGTTAGAGCGTCCGCCCGGAGAGCGGAAGTTCGCGGGTTCAATCCCCGGCCATGTCATACCAAAAGACGTTAAAATATGGCACTTGTTGGTCCCTGTCTGGCGCTCGGCATTAATGGGTACAACAAGGACTGGTCGGTTTGGAGTCAGTATAATGTGTCTGAGTGGGGTATTCATGCTTCACTGCGGCATGGTATCTCAGTGGGCTAGCACTATAACACCAGCTTAAGTCTAGCTAGTACAATCAGCCGCACATACACGTACACACGCATGCACGTCGTCATATGAGCGAAATATTCTCAAGCACGACGTAAAATCCAATTTCACCTCACCTCACCTTGTAACATTTGTTGTTGCACATACCATAGTTGGCCATCAGTGAGTGGTTGGCCATTAGTGAAATTCCCATAGACTTGTCATGTTGATTAACTCTTGCAAGAATAATTTTCATAAGTTTAGTTTCGATCGAATTGCTTTCAATGCTGTTTTACCAGCTGGGAAATCATCTCAGCTACATATGCATAATTTCCATTGAATTTTCCGATGATTATTAAGAAAACTGCAGCTATTTAAACAACACATATTAGATATACCAATCAGGTTTAACATGGCTGTCTATGGGATAGATTAAAATTAAGTTGTACTTATGGTGCTTAATCAGGTGTCATTCGATAACTAATCAACAGAAAGATGAAAGAAAATTAGGTACACGTAGCTGAAGATGATTTCCAAGATGTTTGCAAAATATCAAAATAAAATGACTTCTACTCAATTTATGAAAACTATTCTTGCAACAGTTAATTAACATGTAAATCTCTGGAAATTTCACTAATGATGACTCACTGATGGCCACGTACTGTACCCAGATTACAGGAATTGATCATTATGTGGACTGTGTTAGTTAAAGCATATCCTGTCTGACTTTGTTTACACATCCAATAAAGATTCAGTATAAGTCACAAGACTATATTCAGATTCAGTACAAGACTAAATGCTGCAGGAGAAACTCAGCACCAAATGTACCTGATATGTATTCACTCTATTCTGCGATAGTCTAGTTCTACAAACTTGTGTAAGCAGCACAATTCATGGACCATATTTTCCTTCTGTTTTAGGTTTCAAATGCATGTATTCTATGTTCATGATATAGCTGTAAAATGTGTGTAGATGCCCCTATTTGAAAAATGGAAACTATCATTTCACCCTGACTCAGCAGTTTTAAAAGTATTCCAACCTGTCCACTAACTGTATCCTGTGTTACCGTGGTTACAGACTGTTACAGAGATGTGTAAGACCCCAGCCTGGAGATGTGGTGTGTGACACTCACCCCATGAAGGGTGTGGCAGCTGACAGTATCCCCATACAGGTAGGTGGAAACACTGACACTCAGTTCACCTGATGAAGGGGCCTGTAATGGTCCCAAAGCGATGGTGATGTGATTGGGAAATCAAAAAAAAGAGGTTTAATCCATAGGAACTGTATTCCAGCCATTTTTATATGAAACTAAAAAATATCTTGGACATCTATGTATAACTTCTGAAAATGCCGCTCAACCAAAAGACACTTTACAGTTGTTCCATTTTTTGTGACATTATTGACCTCTGTACTCTGACCTTGATCCTAAATAAATTCAAAATGACATATTGTCCTGATCGTGACATTATCCTGTTTATGTCACAGGCTGCTCGAGGTTGGCCTGAAGCATTCCATCTGAGTGGAGAGAAATTCCCTCTGGCTGTCGACAGGACTGTGCAGAATGTGGCAGCTCTCAACAAGGAACTGAGCTCTGACAATAAGTAAGGAAGCACCTGCGCATTGTCCATTGTGTTTGGGGAGGCAGTATACAGTACACTAGGGTCCTTATCCTCTTTAATCCTCAAGTTCAAGAAAGGGTCACAAAAAAGTTTATAAGCTAAATATTGTATATACTAGTGTTTTGTCCATTATCACTTGTTGATGTCTTGTCTGTTATGGGTCGCTGGGGTAGCCTAATGGTTAAAGTGTCCGCTGGTCACACCAAAGACCCGGGTTCAATTCCTGACATGGGTACAATGTGTGAAACCCATTTCTGGTGTCACCCACCATGACACTCAGGGGTGGAACAAGATTTTCAACATAATGCAGTTAATATTCAAGTGACATCAAACTTAAGAATACTGCAAAAAAACACAAAAAACCCAGAAAGACGTGCTTTGTATTTTCTGTTTGTTTTCAGATCGCAAATTGCAGTCGATGCTGGATACTGGGATGTGACTTACCTCCCCTTCAAAGAGAGCAGCGTGGATGTTTTCATAACCGACTTGGTAGGAAGTGCATTCTTCTGTCAGATAACCATAGCCATAAATATAGAAAGAAACAGACTGTGACTTTAAGTACTGGCCCAATTCCAGAGTCAAGTAAAAAGTTCTTAGGGCAAGTAACCTTGCCAAGTCCACATGTGATGACTAAGGACTAACGACTATTGGATTAAATGCTGGAGTACCTGTGGTTTTAGGTTTTTGCACCATCCATTTTGTTTTTAATGACTGTCATTTATTGTGTGGGTAGGGGAGTATCACCAACTGATATCAGTCTGTCTGAGAGTGTCACAGAAAATTGTACACATATTTGAGGAGGGTCGTGAGAAAATTTTGTTTTAAAACATAAAGTACTTTCATTTAGTCAGACTACAAGGTATTGGGGAGGATCATCCAAAAAAATAACAAGCATTAGGGGAAAGAAATTATTTTGAGTATATTTTCAGATTTTTACACAGTGTTAAATCAGCTGTGAGAGGGGATCATGCAGTATGGGCTGTCAGGTTCCTATGCAAGTTAACTGTTGTGTGGGATGCCAAAATGGCAGCTGGGTGTGAATAGTATGGATGAGTGACTGCCAAGGGAGACTACTCTCAGCTTCCATCTGGCTCATTGTGTATGAATGAGTGAGTGTGAGTGAGTTTAGTTTTATGTGGCGGCGGTCTGTAAATAATTGCATCTGGACCAGACAATCTAGTTATCAACAGCATGCGCATCGATCTACGCAACTGGGATACGATGACATGTGTCAACCATGTCACCTGATCCCGTCAGTCGCCTCTTAGGACAACCATGGGTTACTGAAGACCAATCTTCACAGGTCCATTGTGTATGAATATACTCTGAGGATATAAATCCCTACACACTAGTCCACTGGGCATGGCTGAGTTATTTAACAGTTTTCTTAGCTGTGAAAGTGCTGAATAACAAGACATGGATTCAGGCTTAATTTGAATTTGAAAATCAATATATGCCAAAAGACATTATTAACCCCTTGCGCTAGAGATGAGTTTCATCATGGCCGTATTGGCAGCAGGTTTTGTCCTGGAGTGGCCTTGTGATCACACTGAGACCCTCATTAACATAACCGATGCCGAATGGATGATGACAAGTGATGCAGTGGCATCATACACACGAAATTACCGACCTGCTTAATCATTGCCGAGATAATTAGACAGGCTGCTGTCTTGGCTGAGCAGTTACCGGATAAGAAATCTCAAATTTCCACGGGATGATTGAATACAACCCAAACCAAATTGTTATTGATTAAGGAATTACCCTTCCGGAGTTCATTTTAGAATTTAAATCGAAAGGGTAATTTTTCTTTCCATTGATTTTAGTGGCGAGTTTTTCTTGCTTGGGGCGCTCTTCAAGTTGCACAGTAATCACATTGATTTGAGCTTCTATCTTGTTTTCTCTTTTGCAGCCCTTCGGCAAAAGGTGAGTTGAAGATTTTTGTTCTTTTCAAGACGCTTTTATCACCCTTGGTCAACTGCCAATATGTATGTTCATGAATCGAAGAAAGAAAAATATCGGCATAGTTTTTATAAATGTGAGATGGCATCAAATGGCAATTTTCTAGATTGCCATAGCTTTAATAAAAGCTTGAAATAATTACTTTATCTTACAAGATTGCTGCTTTTTGCTTCACAGTGCTTTCAGTCAGATTGTTGTGTGTAGTTGAAAGTGTCTGGATTGGCGGTATAAATTGCTGTATGTTCTTTGTGTTGTGAGGAAGGAGTGGTGATTTTAGATCAGTGCATGTAATTACTGCTTATGGTGTTGATGAAATTGAATGGTTTGGTGATTATGAGCGTAGCTCGGTTCGATATGTAATGGAGAACGTGTCGTCACCTTGTGGGGTTGTCCTCTCTGTTTCTCCCAGAGGGGGATGATAATCATGGTCTCACCTAGACCAGCCAGACAAATAGTATTTAGATTCTTTCTAATGATCAGTCAGGACCTACAAACAACATGAGATCAATGTAGGATGCGTTCAAGATGCACTCCAGATTCAGTCCTGTCAAGTTCGGTTCAAGCCTGTCACCTCACTTTGTTTGACCGCTGATGTGGATTTTGTTCAGCATACGACTCAAAGGAAGTTAAGGAATATCTAATTCATTTATGTGAATTGAACATCTGAAATCAGACTTAGATTGAGTGTTAGAGTTAGAAACCCCCATTTATTAGAATTGAACCCTGAATTCAGACTTAGATTAGTGTTAGAAACCCCCATTCGTGATTAGTGCAAGGCTTGCGTTTGGGCTGTGATGTCAGTGAACATCCTGTCAAGTGTGGTGTCGCTAACTTGCAGAAATTAAATAGTCGACAGGGACGTCCATTGCCCTTTCTCATTCTCTCTCTCTCCCTCCCTTTCTTTCTCTCCTTCAACTCCCTCCCTCCTGTGTCCCTACCTCTCTCCCTCCCTCCTGTCTCCCTACTCTCTCTGCAGCCCCCTCCTCCCTCTCTCCTCCCTCCCTCTCTCTCAGGGACGCCCACTCTCTTTCTCTCTCTTTCTCTCTCTCTCTCTCTCTCTCTCTCTCTCTCCTTCCCTCTCTCTCTCTCTCTTTCTCTCTCTCTCTCTCCTCTCTCTCTCTCTCCTTCCTCTCTCCCTCCTGTCTCCCTACCTCTCTCTCCTCCTGTCTCCCCTCTCTCTACTGCCCCCTCCCTCCCTCCCCTCTCTCCTCTCTCTCCTCTCCTTCTCTCTCTCTCTCTCTCTCTCAGGATGGATGGATGGATGGGAATGGAATGGAACACTGTATACACTGTGACTGTTTCAGGATGGGCTCAAGATTCAACAACACAAAGCTGTACCCAGAGGCCCTGATTGAGATGACGCGGGTGTGTCGCCCTGGGAGTGGTCGAGTCTGTCTCCTGACCCAGGACAAGAAGTGCATGATCAGGGTAACATAGCTCATCACACCACACAAACCTTCAACACTGAGGACTTGACATAGGGGACTGTAGAGGAACAACTTTTATGGATAGACAATAACTTCTTTTTGCAATAGAAGCAACATTTTGGTGTAGATGCTAACACCGCTATCAGGAAAGTGATCATGCTTGATAACAGTCTTAGCATCTACACCGAAACATTGCATCTATGGAAATAAAGAAGTTGTCTATCCATACAGATGTTCCTCTTCATCATACCAGCTTCTAAATGCCACTTAAAGAAGATAAGGGACTCCTGTCAATGCTGAAAATCCTGGGACAACAGGGTAGACAACTCTGACCTGCCGATTGATTTGTCTGATCCCCATTATGCCCTGAGAAAATTGACAGTGTACATTTTGGGCTTTCCTCGCATATCAACCCAAAACATTGAGACGTAACTGGAAAACTGTTAAATCAGTGTAGAACTTCTCTCACTCATTCCCTCCCTCTCTCTCTCTCTCTCTCTCACACACACTCTATCTCTCTCTCTCTCTCTCTCTGTCTCTCTCTCACACACTATCTCACTCTCTCTCTCTTACTCACTCACTCTGGTCATTAGCAGGGTATCTCATAATTATCTTATATTTTGAAAGAAAATATTGAGTGACTTAGAAATACTTTACTATTTACTCAAAAAATAATGCTATAATATGAGTATAAATCACTGAATTCTAATGAGAGCATGTTTTCCAGGTAATCCAATCTCTTGGTCGCTACTGGCAGCGGCGCATGATTTTAAGCATCAACCTGGGTGGTCTGGCAGCAGGGGTGTACCTCCTCAACAGAACACTCAACCCAGTAATCAAGGGGGAGACAACTCCTTCCACAACCCAGGAGGTGACAGCAAAGTGCAGGGACTTCCGTTCAGCCATGCCCTCTGATCCCCGCTCAGGCCATGGATACACAGTCGTACGACATACATTTAGCTCTCTGAAGGAGGCGAACAGTCCTAGAGATGCTGAAACAACAGATGCTGATTAGATGGGCAGTCAAGACGAACATCGTTCACACTCATGTTTAAGAAAATGAGCGGGCATTAAGACTGTATGAATCTGTCGGGAAGAACATTTTCTTCTTCTGACTCAGTGCTACTTGTAGTGTGATCTGTGTTTCCGTCACTGTCTAGAGGAAGAGTGAGTGAGTAAATGGGGCTTTGAGCCGCATCAGCAAATTTGCAGCTATTAGCGGCTAGTCTAAAGGAATAACAAGCAATATGTTTGCTGTATCATATTACCTATAAGGGAAGAATGATTGAGGATAATAACCTGATATAATCTATACATTTGCATGTTAGTGATTCTCAGTGGTGACTGGCCATTTAAAGCAATATGTCACACATGCAAGCATGACATCATCCAGCGTTCATGACCTCACACACTGACATCATTCCCAGACCTCAACAATAGGGGTTGACATTTCATTTGTTTTTCTTCATGTTCCATCTAAACTTAAGTGTTCTGTATACTCTGTGTAGATGGGGTGGGGTAGCCTAGTGGTTGAAGCGTTCGCTCATCACGCTGAAGACCTGTGTTTCATTTCACACATGGGTGCAATTTGTGAAGCCCACTTCTGGTGTCCCCACCGTGATATTACTGGAATATTGCTAAACACGGCATAAAACAAAACTCACTCACACACTGTATAGAATAACCTACTCTAAACACTGAATGACTGATTGTGTCCATTGTGAATGAATGACAGCTGTGGAATATCAGTGTTAACTCAGTGTTAACTATCAACTCCGACAGGTTGTTGTATTTCTGTAATCATGATGTGTAATCTAAGTTATTGTTCTGGTTGTTCATCATGAAATCAGCCTGCTAATGTCAGGACAGTTCAAGCATGATTTGATTTTGCTCTGAAAATGAAAGAATCCTGAACTTTGTCAGGGAAGTACAACATAGACAAACTTTATGGTTAGGCCAGACCAATTTTATTTCTTGTTTTACCGATATTTGTCCTCAGAAAACCTAAAGGCAGGAGGGGGAACAAAATAAAAAAATATAATCACCAGGCAAAGTAATATTCCTTCTAAAAACTCAAAGTATTTTATTTTTGGCAATTTAGGAAGTGTATATAGGGCAAAAAAACAATCTGAAAAACACTTTTTGTGTAAGTTTACATTTTTGGCCAAGAAAAACTAGGATTTTATTTTTTGAGTGGGGAAAATTAATTATTATTATTTTCTTATTCTTGAAAAAATACGACAGGCGGTTCTGTAAAACAAGAAATAAAATTGGTCTGGCCTTAACAACTTCTTTATGTCATGTGTGGGACATTTCGATATAGTTTCTTGTACGTATGTCGCAATGACAAAATAAAATAAGTTGTTTGTACACGAATCTGTATCTAAAGGTCACACTGTAGAAATAAAACAAGTTGTCAGCCATAAAGTTTGTCAATATTGCACTTCCCAACTTCTCAATTACCTCTCAAAGACGTTTGTCAGGGAAGATATGAATGTTTTACCATGGTTAAATCATATTTGACTATATATGTTTTGTTTGCAAGTTCTTCAGTTACAAGATGCCTGGTTGGTGATAGTCACACATGTTAATTATGATTTCAGTTAGTTGATATGCCTGCTTTGTTTTAATGAACAAGTTACTTTGTGGACAGACTGTTTGAAATAACTGAGCTGTAAATTAAAAGTTATTTCTGCTACATGTTCCTTTGAGGCTTTATTCTTACTTAGTCATTCATATTTTTTATTTACAATTACTTCAAAGATTGTAAAGGTACTGCAGGTAAATTTCCACAATTTCGTATCTGTCAGCTGTTTACCATACCTCAGACACTTGTTGATTCAACTGAAATATTGTTTAAAACCTGACCCAAATACCTGAAAACAATCAAGTTATCCCATTGTTTTCATGGGACATTCTTTTCTTAGAATATCCTTCTTGACAGGGTCATTCAACAGAATATCCTGTTGTTTCAATGGATATTCCATAGTATTACCATTTTAGAAATCTATTTTGCCATTGAACACAATGTACATGACATTACTTTAAAGGAATCATGTCAAAATCAAACACTAAATGTCGCTGACATATTTCAGTGAGACTAAACATACAACCTTCAGACTGTTGAACCACAAGGCTAGAGAGACGCTGATGAAAGGCAAGACTATCAGTATCTCCTTTTTCAAGTACGTACACCAGCAAACGATGTCTGTTTTTATAAGGTTCATGAAAATAGAGTTGGAAACATATAGTTGATGATATAGATAGGTTCATATTTTAATTTCAGTTCTTAATTTGGATGAAAACCTAGTCCAAGGTCTTAATACAAGTTTCATGTACATACATCTATTTTCATTTACAAAGGTTGTTTTTTTTCACCTCAAACAATACGATATAGTTTTGACTGGGCACAATACACGAAATAGCAGTTTTGTTATGTCCATGGAAAATATGATTTTAATTGGCCTTTGTTCCGCATTATGTAATAGTTACTATAACGTGGGTGTCTAATAACGCGGGGGTCATCCATGGACCCCAAGATCCGCGTTATGGCGAGGGATGACTGTAGTTAAGAATGTATGCGTAGGGAAATGGAGGAGGCCAAATTGCCCCATGGTTAACAAGAAGATACCCACTGATGTAGATCTTCACACTGGAAGACCACACTTCTGGGGTAGGTGTTCTTGTGTTCCCAGCATTGACATTGCTGGAATGTACCTAAAATCAGTTTAATACTCACCTAAATAAAGTATGTACCTCAGTGTTTATGCTCATGGTTATAAGTAAGGGAACACGTTTCACATATGCAAGCATATGGAATCCTGCTTGTTCACAAAGAAATGATGGTATGGCATTTCACATCAATATCAAGGATATTATTCACATGTGCAGAGCTACAGTCACAAATGAAAGTAGCAGTAACCATCAAACATAACACATTAGGTGTTTTCTTGAGCTTGTCACTGGTTTGTCGGTTCCCAATTGCGCAGATCGATGCTCATGCTGTTGATTACTGGATTGTCTGGTCCAGACTCAATTATTTACAGACCGACGCCATATAGCTGGAATATTGCTGAGTACGGTGTAAAACTAAACTCACTCACTCACTCACTCACTCACTCACTCACTCACTCACTCACTCACTCACTCACTCACTCACTCACTCACTCACTCACTCACTCACTCACTCACTCACTCACTCACTCACTGGTTTGTCATGTCCATGTGAGCTTATTGTCTGTTTGCCATAATATAAGTGAAATATCTGATCTTTAGACTGATCTTGAATATTGCAGACTTTGGCTTTAACAACATCCACTAATCAACAGCTGGCTAGGTCAGGCCATTAATTCCAATCCATTCTTGGGTGTTTTTTATTTATAATCAAAATGCCAACTGTTTGTACAGTCATATGTGACAAAACACAGGCAAGAGAACTCACAGAATGTACGGGTACATGTAGTCTGTCCCCAAGACACAAGAAAAGATACTAAAGAGGACTCCTGCTCAAGTCTACAATGATTTGGCAAGCTGGATAGCCTCCAAAAATGTAGCCTTATATGTAGCCTCCGAACAATTTAGCCTTGTGTGTATTGCCTCCGAAACATTTAGCATTGACTGATTGTTTATGTGGCCTCCAAAAAAATTAGCATTGTGAAACCTTAACTGGCCCCATACCTCAACCACCTAACTAAATATATTCTGCATATTTCGTCCACAAATTATTTGTACAAAAGCACCCATGTCGTCTTCAAACACTTGTAGTACCCTTGTACCAATCGAAAAATGCCCATTCGTTGATAAAGTCCTGTAAAGGCTGGAGGAAGTTCTGATCTTACACGGTGAAACGCATTTCTGTAACTTTAATTGCTTTCATAGCTTTCATAGCTGTGACGTGCAATTAATTTTCTGAAATAATGATACTTTGCAAATTCATCTTCATGTCTTTTAGCGATGTGAAATCTAATAGACAAAAAGTTGTTTGGTTGTCGACAAAACCTTTAATGGCGTCTTGCTCAATATAATTGCTTTCATTGCAGTAAACTACACTGTCAATCGATTATAAGAGACACTGATTTCTCCAAATCGATAATTTTTGTTTCCTTAGACGATGTGCTGACGTTACAACGTGTGATGTCTAGTAAACAAACAACGCACTTGTTGCATCGTTAGGCAGATATTTACCCAAAAATCAGAAAACAAATAGTATTTTTTAATCCTTATTTTAATGTTCCTAAATTGTATAGTCACGCGTATTCGTGTCAGAAAAAGTTAATCACCCGCAAATGAGGCACTTGATACTGAAACTGTGTCAGGGATCGGCAATGATTAAGTTACACTATTTATTATGCGGAACTCGCATCAACAGGCATTCGGTGATTTTTAATCTCTTGAACGAGAGAACTTAGATTCTGAGCAACTTGTAAAGCCAGTTGTTCAGGTGTGTTTTTCGTTCCAAACCTCAACCAGCAAGAGTTGGTTAGTTGGTTTGTTGTTTTACGCCGCTCTCAGCAATATTACAGCTATATGGCAGCGGTCTGTAAATAATCAAATCTGGACCAGACAATCCAGTGATCAACAGCATGAGCATCGATGTACGCAATTGGGAACCGATGACATGTGTCAACCAAGTCAGGGAGCCTGACCACCCGATCCCGTTAGTCGCCTCTTACGACAAGCATGGGTTGCTGAAAATCAATTCTAATCCGGATCTTCACGGGTTCAACCTGCAAGAAAGCGGGCATGCGAAAACAATTATATAAAATTATCAATAGTATAAAAATTATACAGTATAACTTTGTTTTTCACTTATTGTGTAACATACTTGGAAACAGATTCAATTATATCACAGGTCGAACCGTTTGGCTTCAGAATCAAAATCCATTTTATTTAGACAAAGAATGATCAGCTGAAACTGGTTACAGATTTTTCATTTATCAGCTCAGTGCATACATGTCTTGCTCAGTAGCGATTGTCAGATTCTGTTTGTGTACACCGTTCAAGCGAGTGGTGTAGGGATCGTGAAATGGGTATCAAAGGTGAAAAATAAAAAAGCAAGTGTTAGACATCTGTACGTTATACTTGCAAACCCGTCTTTGATCAAAACAAGTCAATGACTAAATTCGTATCCCTTTTGTACAGTCAATAAAAAGCCAAAGAGTAATGTTTTCCATGTGATGTACAATCACATGATCATGTGGACCAGTATGGAAGGTTCTAGCAGATACCATATATCAACGTATGGTCTCTGGCTCTATAGTAAACTCCGGAAGAACAATATTTTGATCCTAAGAAAAAATCTAGAATTGCCTGCGGCTGTTGGGCGAGAAGACCAACGTTAGATACGAACGGCCAAGAGAGTTCACTCTAAGTTCAAATACGTGTATAAAACCTGGGTTATATTTCCACATGAGTACAATGTGTAAAGTACAATTCTGATGTCCCCTGTCGTGTTGTTGCTGGGGTATTGGTAAAAGCGGCGTAAAACCTGACTCACTCGCCACTTACATCTCACACAAAACATTATTTACTCTGTTGTAAGGGATGTTTAGCATATGTACGATACACCTTAAAACAATAAATGTCAGTATTAAGAAACAAGATTATAGACAGACAACCATGAACTAATAACCATTTTATTATAAACTTACAGAATACAACAATTAAAGGTATATATAAAATACTCACCACTAGTAAATTATATGAATACATATTTTCTTCATAATATTCATTTGTGATTTCCCTACGCTCAGTATATAGATATACACAATTAGGCAAAAACTAAAATATTTTCAAAATATCAACACTGCAAGCTATGAAGTGTATTGACATCTATTTCTTCTTCTGGCTTCATGTATCGCTTTTCCTGCTGCATATATTTTGTTCCCTTTATCGTTTGTTCGTTTTTAGTTAATGTTCTTGACATATTGTCATCAACCACTAGCTGTTCTCTACATCCAAACATCTCTCGCTCTGTTTATCAAGCTGGCTGATCTACTTTGTGACTGGCTTCTTCCTCTTCGCCGCCCGCTCTTCCTCCACCTTCTTCAGTTTCTCCTCCCTCATCTGGAGCTGATGTTCCGCCCTCATTTTCTTCAGGAACTGGCGACGTTTCTTCTCGTCCTTGACAGCTTTGTGTTTTATTTCCCTGTCCAGTTGTTTCCTCTGGACTTGCTCCACCAACCTGTATGAAATAGATAGGTAATATGAAATTAGACCAAGATCAAATCAATACAAAGGCACCTTTAGTTGCTAGGACAGTTTACGTTTTTAAACTCTTCGTCCTAAAGACTATACCTGTCCAGTCGAAATAGATCGGCCTTCTGTCTCCTTCTCTCAGCTGTGTAGAAGCATCGCACTGGGATTTGCTCCAGACGTCGGGGAGCTTTGCCACGGGGAACAACCCCTCCACGGCGGGGACAGAGAAGGCCACTCCTCCGCTGGACTGACGGTCGGGGACCAAGCCCTCATCTTGTAGCTGTTGAAGAATCTCCGCCCCTGACAGACGGGGTGTGGGCCGTGTCACCTGACACTTGGCGTAGTACAGCTCATGAGGACAGTTGATCTTGCCCGTCAGAGCCTCCTCGGCAGATGTCTGCTTGAAAGGTATAACCTTGGTTTGTTTGCAGCCCATTTTAAACAAATATCTGTGAGCTCTAAAACAACACACGACCAGTCTTCACGAATGTGGGTGAGACAATCACGTGACGTCATAATGTAGTGACGTCACTGACTCCAGACCATCCAATGTTTAACCTAGAGTCCGAAGTTTCTTTGATTGTTTTAAAAGTTTGGAGTTCTTAAATCCATGTAGGATGATAAATTGATTGAACATTTTACAAGATTTCCATCATGTCAAACATTGTAAGAATTACATAATTATATTTTTATCTCACCAAACCTACAGCATCTTAACATGAGGGGTGTGTATTGCAAAGGATAGTCTTGCCTAACCAAACCATTCTCACTCTGAATACACAATGTCAATTTGAAAGTTGTCAATGTAACATGTTTTATTTGGGATTATACATTCTCATTTTATTCCATTATTTGATGTCTTGTTCAAGTTTCTTGTCAAAATTTAGCTAGGTTCAAGTGAAGTAGATTTATCTGTTAGGCACAATTGTCATGTCTCTGCTGCAAGTAGACGGGATTTTAATTGGTGCAATTATCTCTATTTTGGGTATCATGAACATTTGGCCCTTCTCCTGATGTAGTTCTGGAAAATATGCCGAAGTTACAAAGTGTTGTACCCCAGAACTCGAGTCATCATAGACTGCAGGAAATATACACTGAGAGACCCTCCTCAGTCTATTTAGGTTCACGAATGGTTTCTCTTTACAAGATTAGTTTGTTGTTTTTTGTGTTAAATTGTTATACAATGACATGTGTAACCCCAGGCAGCGAGCCTCTCCACCCAATCCCGTAATTCTAACTAAAGTCCGTTTGACTTCCGATGAATTGGTCACAAACACAAAATCTAATAAATGCAACAAAATCAAACTTTGCACAGTCACGTGAAATCGACAGACCAACTCTGACAATTTGTCTCATAATTTTGGACACCCGAATAAAAAGTTGTTTAATAAACGATCATTATTTTGTTGTCACTTTTCGCTATTTCTTACGAGGGGGGACCACTTGCTGGTAGAACAGCCAGGTAATCAACAAGCGTGTGCAGTGAAATTTCAATTTCACACGTACACCTCGCACACCTGATTTTGTTGCATTTATTAGATTTTGTGTTAGTGAGCGATTCATCGGTCTCAAATGAAGTCAAACGGACCATACAAGAGTAGTAATTCATGGAAGGCTTGGTGGGTACTGACCCTCATAACATTTGTATCTGCCATGTTCTCAGGTTGTATGTCTGACAGTGAACTAAGTGGACTTTTGGAATTGCTTGAGTCCGGGGATGGCATCATGGTGACTGTGGTTTCTTATTGGGCAGCTATTTGAAGGAAACAGTGTGTCAATAAATACTCATTTCTTGTGATCGATTGGTCCACATTGAAAGGCAATATCAAAGGAGAAAAAAGAGCATTATTTACTCAATGGCACAGTCCCCTTATCAATATCAGGTTCAGTCAATCAGCTATGGACTGTAGTAAACTCACTCTGTTTAGAAAGGTCCTTATAGCCATATGAGATACACATTATTCAGCACAATACAGCTCTTTGTCCTGAACATCAAATGTGGATATATCTGGTGTTTTGTAATAGCAGTTTCAGCAACATTTCATTCATGTAACACTGAGTAGCTGATACCCTTTCATTCGTTTAATATCATCCCGAGTTTGAATAAAACCCTGCCCCACGAGAACAACAAAATGACAGAACTGAATGTAAATGAATTTGTTTGGTACTGTTGTGCTGTGTAAATAATCAGTAGAGTATGAGATAATAGACAGCAGTATTACATTGATGGGTGTAGCTTAATGATGGAACCCGTGATGGTCCGGGTTCGAATGTGCCTTCAGTAACCCATGCTTGTCGTTCGAGGCGACTAACGGGATCGTGTGGTCAGGCTCTCTGACTTGATCGATGCTCATGCTGTTGATCACTGGATTGTCTGGTCCAGACTCGATTATTTACAGACCGCCGCCATATAGCTGGAATATTGCTGCGTGCGACGTAAAACTAAACTCACTCACTTATTGATGGAAATGTCTTTCATAATGGCATAGTTTTAGACATAGCATATTTGTTGTTAAATTCAAAATTGCTGAAAAAAGAAAATTTGATCCTATTTGAAAAGAATTAGTTGGGAATCTGAGTGAGTGAGTTGGGTTTTACGCCGCTTTTTGCAATATTGCAGCAATATCACGGCGGGGGACACCAGAAATGGGCTTCGCACATTGCACTCATGTGGAGAATCGAACCCGGGTCTTCGGCGTGACGAACGAACGCTTTAACAACTAGGCTACCCCACCGCCCCTGGGAATCTGAAGAATGTCATGTATAGGAAAGATAATATACTGTAGTAAGGGAAGACAACCTCTGATAAATTACGAATTGATCCAACTGAAATTGTTGCCATTTATGTGATCATGACTAACGAGTAATGTAAAAAGATTGTGTGTCAATGACGTCTAACATATTTCCTGTCCAGTGAATCTCCCAACCAGGTATAGAAAGGGCTGTTCACAACACCATACTGGAACATATTCACTGGTGTATCTTGCATCTGGAAAGAAGAAACAAAGCATAATTATTATTCGTATTAACTTTGATCTTGTGAACTTGGTGAAATTTCAATATGTCAGTTTAGAAAAAGAATTTAAAATTGTAAATTTTCAGGAACCTATCCTATCTCACACTATGATACTTCATATTATGCATTATGAGACTTATAAAATTTTGATAATCAAGCTAGAATGTTCTCGTTCTCACATCAGCATAAACTTGGCCTGCAGTGGGAAGGCTTGCAAGACCATGTCTCATTGGTGCTGTTGGGATCTTCTTTCAAGATCTGATGATGGTTCTCAACTCCTGAAAATAAGAGAGTATTTAGTGATGCAATTCGATCAGGATGATTCCTGTTTACATGTTAGAGATAGTTGGATGGTGTTTTAAACACATGGACGTGGTGTTGTTTTAAACAAACTAAAAAGGAAAAACATACATTTCAAATTACCTCTATTTTTCTTTATAATTTTAGGACCAACATATGCAGTCGATCTGGATTTTCCGACTTTTCACCAATTGGAAACAGATGATTGTTTCTGGGTGGATTTCTCAAGCTCCATACTTTCTTCATAAGTCATAATGACAGTTTGTAGGTTGACTTTTTGTGAATCCCTGAGATCCGATGGAATACTTGAGGGACCGTTGTTGAGGTATCGGTCAAGGAAAGATGTAAGTCTATCATCATTGAAAATGGTTCGCTTGTTATGACAACACACTCCGTTTTGGAAACATGGCAAACTTTGTCAATACTTCAGACTCTGAGTGTGGTAGGTCAACTATCAGAAGAAACAGATCCAGCCTTACACCAGTTAATGAATCAACCAAGTTTTGGACTGGTGGTAGGGGTGATCGCAAGGGATTGTGGAGATTGAAATGAACACCTTTAGTGATACTCCTGTGTCGTACCCTTGAACCACAATGTTATCTTGCTGAGTTCCCTTAAAATAGCAGATCGATGCTCATGCTGCTGATCTCTGGATTGTCTGGTCCAGACTCGATTATTTACAGACCGCCGCCATATAGCTAGAATATTGCTCAGTGCGGCCTAAAACTAAACTCACTCACTCACTCACACACTCAGCAGCACAACAAAGTCAGCACGATCTGATGAGTGATGACGAACCTGGAGCCGTCGATAGTCAGTGAATATTGCTGAGTGCACCGTAAAACTAAACCCACTCACTCACTCCCTTAATATTTGTTTACCTCTTGAAAGATGCCCGGTTTGGGGAAGTGATACAGACACATCTATGGAAGTTTTAGTTAGCTATCTGGACATCACCTGTCAAGGATGGCAGTAACACCAAGAGACTTGTAGTTAGCTATCTGGCACATAACACCTGTGATGTGGCCACAGCTATGGCTCGGGCCAATGGCAGTAACACCAAGAGACTTGTAGTTAGCTATCTGGCACATAACACCTGTGATGTGGCCACAGCTATGGCTCGGGCCAATGGCAGTAACACCAAGAGACTTGTAGTTAGCTATCTGGCACATAACACCTGTGATGTGGCCACAGCTATGGCTCGGGCCAATGGCACAGGAACAGTCTAGATCCACTAGAGAAGAGCTGTCTTGATCTACATACCATTGTTTATATGATCTCGATGATCTAGCTCAAGAAATATCAATACTGCTTACATTGAAGCTGCATCGAATCGGACTGGGATGATTTGAGTCCAGGCCACGAAAACCAGTCTCATGTTTTGTTCATATGTTGATGAAACAGTTCTGAATGACCTCCCTTGATAATATTTCGACTACGTTGATTTAAGAGTAGTTTCCCTTGCAGAGCACCATCAGCCTTGATATCTATAGGTCATGAAGCCTGGCCTTCTTGAATAACATCTGTTCAACATTTAAAAATACTAATTTTGTACGCACAAATATAAAAAATACAGTAAATGTTTTATTTGATTTATATGATTATTTGAACACTACAACTCCCTCATTTTTTAAATCCACTTCACCCAAGTGACTCGTTAGGCCACTCTTAGAGTAGGAGGCAGCCAAATGCAAGTCGCGAAGACCCGAATAAAGTTGTATGTGACATTTACAACACTATGACGTCATCACAAACGCCGTGACGCATTACACAGTTGTGACGTCACAGAAGGCTCACAGCCTTTTCTTCTCCACGCAGACATCAGCGCTCGGAGAGTAAAGTTGTTTACAGCAAAGATTCACTACGCCGAAGAGGAATTGGATTCCACGTAATGGATAACGGGTATGTTTTTTAACTTTTTTATTTGTAGCATCTGTGAACAATGACTACTTTTTAACAAAAAACACAGATACGGCTGCTATGGCCTGTTGATCAGCATGGAACTCTGCTGGGTGGAGATCCACAAAGCGTTCGTAACGTTACGACCTGGCATGATTCTATAGTTTATCATAAGCTTACGAATGTTATCATAGGTTTACGAACGTTCTGTGGATCGGGACCCTGGTCCCTCTGTTTGGTAAACTTTCCTTGGAACCAAACATATTAAGAAGTGTTACATATCCTTCAGACCCACAGCACTGCTCGTGTACCTCCTTGTTACCTGACAGATCCAACTTATTACTGATCAAATGAAAACTTCACAACCCTGCGAGGGGCGTCCCAAAGGTAGTCGGCCTCACCTAGAAAATTATACAAATGCAGCTGTTTTTTTGTTTTATTTTGCTACATAGCATCTGTCAATCTCAAGCAAATTGCTTTTGCCATGTTCCAGCCTCACGATCCCCATTTTGTTTGACTCTTTATCTTGGTACCCCTCAAAAAACGAAAAATCTGCAATAAATGCATCACAAACTTCAGGAAACAAAATATGCAAGAAACATTTTGTGTGTTTGAGATAGGCAGAAGTCCTCTAGAATCAAAGAGAGATATTAAAGTGCATAAAAATGCAATTTGAAACAACAATCGCTTGTTAAAGTGACTCCCCACCATGATGTTTACTGAAAGAGCTTGTTTTGGAGACACTACCCAACCCCTTTCAGATGAGTCATCATAAGGACATAATATATTCTAATGTTTTCACTTATTATACATGATGCCAAGGGTTCAAACTGAATGGTCACACAAGTGTCAGCTCTCAATATATTGTAAACAGTGCCAGCCTGAATATCTGGACACAATGTTTTTGAAAGATTTAAAATGGGGGTGTCCTTAAAAAACAGCCCCGTCTAAATACTAAAACAAGTAATCCAAATCTTTGAATGTTGATTATGACGGGAAGTCATCCAATACTATACTGAACATATTTCATATGATATTATCTGATGGCATACCATTATCCCAGAGGTACCAAATGACAGATAGTTTTTCACTTTATGCAAATTTTAAAGAAATATTATACCCCAATGTGTTGTGATGACTAATATCTCGGTAACCACATGACCGACATATGTGAAATTCTGGCTTTGATTCCTTCAAATCAAAATGGAAGCTTTACTAACATTGGTTTTTGAGAATATAGTTAGGCCGACTATTTCTGCCCTCGTACAGTGTATAAGTTCCTATAAGTAGATTTGTAAGTATACAATACGTTTACCCAGATCAGATAACTACTTTCCCATTTTATGTATTTACGTTCTTGTTTATGTATCCAAATGCATTGTTTGATATCCGATATGTATAAAACAAGAATATTGTATATACTCAAAATACAATTGTACATACTGAAATGAAGACGCCAGTTGGAGAACGTGTTTGTCTTTACGTTGTATTCGTCACGTGATTGGATACTTGTAGGTTGTGTATTATGTCCACTGGATACAGAATACAACATGTAAACAAACTGATGACATTTACATAATAACATAGGGCCTGATTTAGACTTGACATTGTTTCACCCACAGACTGGAAGGATCCCCACCCCCTACGAGGGATGGGCGTGGCAACACCCGGAGGGTCATCGGCATCAGGAGGTAGGGATACTTTCACATCCTGGTATGTTCACATGTTAAGGGCTGGATAAGGAATTAAATGTCTTTCTGGCACAGAAATACTAAACATACTCAACCAAAAAGGGTTAAAGCGTTCGCTCGTCACGCCGAAGACCCGGGTTCGCTTCCCTACAAGGGTACAATGTGTGAAGCCCATTTCTGAAATATTGCTAAAAGCGGCGTAAAACCATACTCACTCACTCACGAACAAAAAAAGGTTAAGGTAATTTTCAATATTGAAGTATTTGATCGTTCATATTATGATCCATATAAAACTTAAATATTGAATATTGGGGTGGTCCTTAACTTCTTTAGCTGAGTATACATGAAACATTTTGTCTTGAAATTAATGCGAGTGCAGATATTTAACCTTAAATGCGCCGTGAACTACTGCAATTATCACTCCCTTTGACATTTCATAATACATACTATATTTATTTGAAACGCAAGTGGCATAAATAGTAAGAGAAGTAGAATGTGGCGATCTGTTTTAGGTTACGAGTCTGTTATTAAAAGACGGGAAATGCAAGCAATGCCAGAACGAGCGACAGTATATTATTTGAAAACATAGGCACTGGTACAAAGAGAACTATTTGAGTTTCATGTTTTGGCTTTTCTTTGAATTACATTTTTAGGTCAATGAATACTTGGCAAGGTCGTTTAAGGCCTAAAATATTATTCATTTTATGCGTCCCAAAACATTTTAATTACATTTAAACATACTACTGTCTTTAATCGTAGAATTTGTGTTATTTTAATTCATGGCTAGATTGTCTAAACTTCCTAACAGCTGAAGGGATGGTGTAAATCCAGCTAGGGTCCATGCAGGAAGCAAATGTACTGTAAGTCCCCATGGTCTCCAGTATGGTGATCTACCTTCAGTTGTTGGCGATCTATAGCCTGTTGGTATATTGTATTCTCTTCTGTAGCTAACATAGTTTAGATTTACATACTGTTTTATATTCATACCTGTGATATTCTAGTTGTTTTTAATGTCCTTCGTTGGCAGATTTTTCATAATTTGTATTTATGGTGAATTCAAAACTTGTTTTAGTCACGATATGGCTGAAATATTGCCGATGTGACTGTAAATCTCAACTCTATTTCATGCGGTTAGATGTGTTATTTTCATTTTTGCATATCAAACGTTCTCATAAATATATTTCTGCATTAACTTTTTCATATGTCACATTATGTATGTAAGTATATACACTACTTATGACGTTTTTGACAACCGTGACAGATCAACTAAAGCAATATAAAAGAATAGGGTGTCCCTTAACTTCTTTGAGTGGCATAAATATAACATTCCCTTTTACACGTCATTTTGTCATGGCGGGTTTTTTTTAAAGTCTCAAACAGGCGGGAAGGGATCCACAAAGTGTTCGTAACGTCACGAGCTCTCGTCACTATATAGTTCATCACAGACTTGCGAATGACGGAGTGCTCCGAACACTTAATGGATCTGGCCCCATCAACCTAACTTCTCAAATCCATTTTGTAGAATAAACTACTCGGGGACAGGGCTACCCCAAGTGGAGACACCCAGCTCCCCAGAGGACACCCACAGCGGAGGAGCCAGTACGTCGGAGCCACTCCCAGAGAAACAGGGGTAGGTGGAGTTGTGGTCTGTTTGAAGGGTGGTAGAGGGGTCGTGGTCTGAGACAGGTGAGTTGTGATGTCTTTTTAGGGGTATGTGGACGGTCGTGGTCTGTGAGGAGTGGATGGAGTTTAGTTGTGGTCTGTTTGAAAGGTTGGTTAAGTTTCGTGGTCTGTGATAGGGTTGCGTGGAGGATAGCTGTACATGTGGTCTGTTTGAAAGGTAGAGCGTCATGGTCTGTGAGAGGAGTGGTTGGAGCGAGAAGGGGTCTGTTTGAAGGGCGGAGGAAAGGTCGTGGTCAGTTGGAGGGACGGTTTGTTCTTTTGGTGTTTTTTTTTGTGGTTCTACATGGAGTTTAGCTCAGTTTGGGGGTTGGAAGTAACGATTTCTTTAGTAAGTTTGTAGTAACCTTAAGAAAAATTCGACTTGAAAAGGAAACTGGAACCCTTTGAGTTACCATCGCCATCATCATCCGGCATGTCTTGTAATACATGTACTTGATATACAAAACCTCGTTGCTAACAGATAAGAGACCATTACTTTCATCAGAATCTGACGTCACAATGCTCCCCCAATTTCAGCGAGTCCCCCGAGCCTCCAAGCTCCCCGGAACTCCCCGTCCTGAACCAGCAGGAGATCCAGGCCTTCTACAGGGAGTCTCTCCTCGCCATGAAGGCCGCAGACAGGTCAGTCATAGGCTCAATATGGCGGACACCCTGGGGTGGGTCAGCCACTGACAATATTCAAATCAAAGAAACGACGGACGTGACACCGACAAATTTCATGGACATTCTTTAGAACCTTATCAAGCTGCTCAAGCTGGGTTCTACCCTAAGACAATAGAACCGACCATTCGATATTCTGGTTGGCGCCTGGACTTTGTATGGAAGATAGATACCTTTTCAGCTCGAATTTTAAAACCAGATAATTGTTTAATTAGAGCTACTAGTCTCAATAATTTTTACCAAAACACCTTGCATTATATATACATGTTTTGTGCCTGAAAATCTCCTTTTAAAGTGTGAATGTTTTCAAGCATTTTGGGGGACATTATAGTGTTGTTGTTTTTGTTGTTTTTAAATCCAAACGCCAAAGTCCGGAGTTCAGGAAACACCAAAAGAAGGTCATTGTATTAGTGACAAAGTTCATAGAAGCTAATGTCCATTAAATCCTCACTGTGGGATAACAATCTGGTGTGCTCTGAACAGTTTTCCACAACATGTGGCATGTGGTTTCAGTGCAAGACAACTGGCACCACCCACCACCCCGGGCAATGAGCTGGTGTTCTATGACTCGTAAGTGCCCTGTCTTCATTAAGACTAATTTTGAAAATGAACTTCTCTCCGACACTATGTGAGGTAATTTAGTTATAGAATAACATGCTATATTGGGATAGAGTTTGTGTTTTTGTGTTTCCATGATACACGATGCTGATTCTCATCGTTGGTTAATGCGGCAGTCTGTAAATAATTGAGTCTAGACTAGACAATCCAGTGATCATTAGCATGAGCATCGATCTAGTAATAGGGATACGATGACATGTGTCAACCACGTCAGCAAGCCTGACCACCCGATCCTGTTAGTCGCCTCTTACGACAAGCATGGGTTACTGAAGACAAATTCTAACCCGGATCTTAACAGGACAACAGATTCTCATAATGTCAAGTGGATGTTTAAATCGAATGACATATCCGATTGTCCCTAACAAAATCCAAGTGGTATATGATTTATGTAGTAACTACCGGAGGATTTTAAGACAGATATGCAGCCGAAAGTCTTCAGAACGGAGATGAACTCATTTTGCCGGTACGAGTCCTTGCCTAATTGTAAGGGGACAGTTTCTGCTTATTCTAAAACATAACCATTTGTGGTAGTAAACGAAGGTCTCACGCTGCATTTCTGTTACAACAAATCAAATTGACACTGACATTTCTGGCTCACAAAGCCAACTTATCAGAAAGTTAATAAATTTCAGTATATACTACTCAATATTTGTTAAGGACCAAAGTGAGTGAGTGAGTGGGTTTAGTTTTACGCCGCACTCAGCTATATGGCGGCGGTCTGTAAATAATCGAGACTGGACCAGACACTCCAGTGATCAACAGCATGAGCATCGACCTGCGCAATTGGGAACCGATGACATGTGTCAACCAAGCCAGCGAGCCTGACCACCCGATCCCGTTAGTCGCCTCTTACGACAAGCATGGGTTACTGAAGGACAGTCATCTTCTGTGGTCCTTAGTAATTGTTGAGTAGTATGTGTAGACAACATCAAAGGGATTATTGCTTTAAAATGAACCTTGACAAAATGTATAGACTTGATACTGATGTTTGTTTCCGCGTTTCTTCAAAGCGCAAGCTCTGGTAGCCAGGCCACCAACCCTGAACCAGTTGGATCGCGGTCCGACCTGACGAAGACACACGAAGACAGGTACTTGCTTAGGGTGAAGTTAAAAAGCACACAAGTGTGTGATGAAGAAAAAAGGAAAATAAATGTCTAAAATAAATAAAAGTTTGGAGAAACGCATGCTGATTTCAAAGGTTATTTTTGACATGAACTGTGAGTTTATTCGACATCCAATTTGAACCTGTCCCATATATTACAGGTATTTTGGTTACTAATTTAACTACACAAATTTTGTTAGGGTCTTGAAATAGAGGGAGATTTCGTTTCACTGTTACTCTTGTGGATTGGATGTTTATTGTGTGTAATTAGATGTAACAAAAAAACCAACAACACTTTCCCTAAAACCACATCTAAACGTTCCTCGGAGTCATTCTATTTAGTTAAAACAGTCTACATCAAGCCCCCGAAACTCTCAACGGAGGCGTAAAAAGCAAACCCATAAGATCCGTTAAAGGGTCTATAATATAGAGATTGTTATTTGTCCAAGAAGAGCAGCCGGGATATTTTGTTTCGTCTGTGTTTTCTTCGGCATTGTATTTTCATACAGGAATATGTTCACTTTTCAAATAACAATCGTTGGTTTCCTATTGAAAAATGAACCAAAATGTTGACATTCTTCAAGGTTGGAAAAAGATTGCAATAGTGTTTGGACTTTTTAATAATGCTTGCCATATTTACGATATATTATCCTTGTGTGCCCCATTGTCCAGATCTTTATATATAATGGCAGTGTGTATCACCAAGAACATAGACATTGTTTATGAAAGAATCTTCTATTTGTTGCAAGTTTGTTTTCCTATTTCAGGATGTCACTTCGTTCCGTTGTGAGCGATGACTTGAGATGCGAAGATGCACTTGCCACCATGCCACCATCAGGTGTCAGCATCTCACGTGTAACAACCTCAGCAGATGTCAGAACCTCACGTGCAGCAACCCTCAGCAGATGCCCGAACCTGCACATGCAGCAGCACCAGCAGCAGATGCCAGATGACAGTTCACGTGCAACAACACAGCAGTAGATGACAGCAGTTCACGTGCAACGACGGCAGCAGTAGATGACAGCATCTCACGTGCAAAGGCACCAGCAGATGACAGCATCTCACGTGCAACAACACCAGCAGTAGACGACAGCGTCTCACATGCAGCAGCACCAGCAGATGATGGCAGCGTCTCAGGTTCAACTACACCAGCAGCAGATGGCAGCGTCTCACGTGCAACAACGCCAGCAGCCGATGCCCATAGCTCACGTGCAAAAACACCAGCAGATGACGACATCTCACAAGATCCAGTAAACGAAAGTAAGAGTAGTGTCATTGTAGGTTGGCTTAGTATTAACGAAGTTTGTCAGAAAGGATAACAGACACATCAACACCTAGCGCCTGTGTTCGGAACACTTCAAGCATGATTATTTCAGACGGTGTCTCATACCATCCATTTGTGGGTAAAACGGTCGTATAGAGGAAGCGGTTTGTTGTGCGATTCTCACTTAATCATGAACATGTGTTTGTGAATCAATGGACATGCGAGGTGACATATTGGGCAGGAAGCTCTCGTAAAATCTCCAAACATGTGGAGCATATCCAGTCAAAATGTTGCTCAATAATAGCTTTAATCAGCATTACTAACTTAATGTATAGAATGCAAGAAGCGGTGTTTAGATGGTCGGTATATTATTTTTAAAAACATCTACAACTACCTGTAAAACATTCTCTAGTCTTTTCTTTCCCATTCCTTGAACCATAGACTATGCTATTGCTAGATTTATTCAAATAAATTATAAAGTTGCAAGATGATATTATGCGTTGATTAGGAACATTATAGGTGAAGGTCCGGGTTAGAATTGATCTTCAGTAACCCATGCTTGTCGTAAGAGGCGACTAACGGTGAATGGGAAACAGTGTTTTAGATGGTGGTCAGGCTCGCTGACTTGGTTTGACACATGTCATCGGTTTCCAATTGCGCAGATCGATGCTCATGCTGTTGATCACTGGATTGTCTGGTCCAGACTCGATTATTTACAGACCGCCGCCATATAGCTGTAATATTGTTGAGTGCGGCGTAAAACTAAACTCATTCACTCACTATGCCTTTGAACCATAGTCAGTTTCCATTTATATTAATCCAGTATTCGATATTATATGCGGTGATGAACCTAGTAGTTCCATTTTCTAGCCATTACTGTGATGATATATGCTTTTAGTACGGGTTCAGGTCTGAATCTCGTACCTCTCAGGGGCTTCTTTAAATGTCAGTGTAGTTGCCTGTTTCTGTAAAAAGTATATATTTTCTGAGACAAACTGTGAGTCTTCATATCCTCGAGCATCACGTTCTGTTCCCCGAGGTGGAATGTGTTGGGGTGTGGTAACTTGGGGAGTAGGTGGTGTGTTCGCTTGTAGCAGAAACCTGTTGTCAATAATAGCATGTATTTACTTCCAGTGGTATCTGCAGCAAGGGAGACAACGGGCTTCCGCAAACGCATTCGTCGGGTAGGTACACATGCACTTGATAAATAACATAAAATTAATAATTTGTCATCAACCACCAAAATAGTCCCTCTTCAAGTAATCAATGCAATGTGTTTATTTAAAGTTGTTGGCTTTCTGTTCATTTTGATTTACATGAGGACCAAGCCTAGTTGAATTGGTTGTACCAACATGATACAGATACCTGAAACGTAACTGCCAAAGCTTGCCAGTGTCTATTAGTGTCTGATGTATGTTAGTTTATCAGTTAACATCTACCGAAATTACACAGAGACAAGCTCGTTAAGATCCGGGTCAGAAATGTTCTTATACTGAGATGCAATTGACGGGATCAGGTGATCAGGCTTGGCGACTTGGTTGATGCATGTCAACGCATCCCAGTTGTCAGTCGATGCTCATGATGTCAATCACTGGATTGTTCTGTCCAGACTCCTCTCCACTGTTGTCAGGGAAATAGTTTTATCTATCCAAAACAATGAAACTGGTTCTGACAGTATGTCAAGTGTATATTTAGATATAATGGCGTATCTGATTATCTCTATGAACATTTGAGTAGGCCTAGTATAAACCTAAAACATTCACTTTGCCCGTCCCTGAGAAGGATACATGTAGCATAACTTACTTCAAGTCATGAATGCACGACTGAGTTCATCCATTATTTTCAGGCATTCTCCCGACTTCTTCGGCCATTCAGATCCTGCTTTGGCCACAGCTAAGATCCTTGGTGGAACACGATATCACGCCAGCAACACTATCATTGGCTCTTCTAGTCACGTGTGTAGAGGTCAGAGGTTGTCCAGGTGTGTTGTCAGGGAAAATAGGGCATGGTGGTATGAAAAGGTGGGGTGAAGAGATAGCTTATGTCAATTACCTTTTTTCAGGAGGACTGTGTTAGAACGGTTTATCCTCACTGTGCAGGCAGCCTGTAGAGGATAAGGATTAGTGATGTTGTTTTAAGGAAAGGATCGTCTCATGAACTAAACTCATGGCCTAGGGGGAGATTCCAAACTGATAGATTGTCAGACTGACATCAACTCACCAAATATCCATGTTCAATTAATGTCACTGAATAAAACTCATCTTGTTAACAGCTATATCTTACACAGGAAAATGTATAGTCACTTTCATTCATCACCATGGCTAATGTACAAGATATATAATAAATCTAGAGTTCATTTGATATGATGTAACGCAAGTCATATTTTTACCTAATCCTTATGTCAACATGTGTTTTATTGTGTCAAATACGTTTTGGCATTTTATCCAAATAAGTTTTGGATTACCTGAACGGTATATCTGCCAATACACATTGTATGAAAAACGATATATTCCTAGAATACAAAGATATATTGCAAAACAATATTGAAAAAGCCCAATAAAGGCAAAAGCATGGTTGCCCCATGAATAGT